CAGGACAACTGAAGTGGGGTGAAATATTAGGTGAAGATCTCATTTGGAAACATATATTCAAACTACCTTTTACAGTCACTGTCAATACTAAACTACAGTGGCTTCAGTACAGAATCAACCACAGAATTCTTGCCACAAATAAATTTTTATGTAAAATAAAACTTATTGATAACCCTTTATGTACTTTTTGTAAATTAGAAGATGAAACTGTTGAACATATTCTGTGGAATTGTGAGATTATCCAAAATTTTTTACAAGATATTGATTATTGGTTTTTATCTGGTGGGGTAAGCCTGCCATTGAATAAGTTAAATTTTATTTTTGGAGATATATCAAAAGTTCGAAAAGGTGACCCATATAATTTGATTTTTCTATACATGAAACAATATATATACAACAGTAGATGTTTTTCAAAAGATCTTTCACTCAGTGCCATTAAAGAAAAGCTAAAATATATGTACAATTTAGAAAAAATAATGGCAGTCAAAAATAAGAGACAAGAGCACTTTGATACCATGTGGAATGCATTTAAAGAATTATTTTTATAATTCAATTTGTCATTTATTATTTACAGAAAATTATTGTCAAAACTAACATAATATATTATTGTATCTAATAGCACAACTTATTATGTACTGAAAATCTTACAGGATATTTTAACTTCTTCCTTTTTCATAAAATACTTTAGCCTTCTCATGTGCCACACAGTGGTACATAAACATTTAACTCAAATTATCTTTTCTTCTGTATTTATGTTCTCTTTTCATATAAATATAAAACTGAATTTTCAACAATGTTTATTGTCATAAATAAATAGATATTCAAATGTATTGCTAATATTACTGTATGTATGTTTGATGTGTTGTATTTGTTGTAATTCTTGAAAATAATAAAAATTAAAAAAAAAAAAACTGGAAAAATCTCCCTTTTTTAATGAATAAAACCACATAACTCGGAAACTTAAAATCTAAAATTTATAAAAAAGAAAGGGAGCTCACGTCAATAGATATAAACAATTCACCAAAGTCTCATGCAAATTGGTTAAAGCGTTTTGAGTTATTGTCCGACATGTTGACGCTGGAAGGACAAACGGACAGACAATGGTATACCATAATACGTGCGTATAAAAATGGCCTAAAAAATTAAAGATAACAGAAAGGAAAGACCCCCCCATCCAGACCCTTCTACATCACTTTGTAATGAAACATTGAACTTAATAGATACATATAAGTACAATAGATTATTATCTGTATGTCTCTGTAGGACTTGGTGACTATTATCTTTAATCAATATAATATAAATGGTACTAGATAATTGGTTTAGAAAATCTATGTTATGGAAGTTTTCTGGTGAGTTTGAAAATAACAAGGCTCCAAAATATACATTTAAAGAGGTCATTTTAAGCCAGAAAATTTAAATGCATGCTAAATTCATTTTTGAGAAATTTGGTAGGAAACGGCTAAGAGTTCTCTAGATTTCTCATGTAAATTATATACAGAAGTTTTTCACTGCCAAATTCTGTAATGCAATATCAAGGATCAAACAGATTTTGCAGGGATATATTGAATTCAAAGATGTCTAACAATGAAATTATGAGAAGAAAAGCTTGGGTTATAGATCAAAATTTTATGATGCTTTAAATTGAAAAGACAGGGAAGCTGAAAATATTGAAAATAAGTTTGCTAGAATGACCCCCTGAGGGTTTAAAGCCACAGTTTAAAAATAAATAAGATATGAAAAATTCTAATTAACAATAATCCTTGATTACAACATCCCAAGACTTAATCACATCATAGAATAAAAATCAATAGCCGATTTTTCCTTCGAAAATCCAGTTAAAAATGAAAACAACACATTAATAAATTTCATGTGTTCGAAGCGCTTTTCTGGATTAACCTTCATCAGGAATGCTCAAAGCCAAATATTAGAAAGCCGATGATGTATTAGAACAGTTGAAGAAACATAAATAATGTTAATTGATTAAAATTCATCATCTTCAAAAGGGATGTGACTCATATTCCCTGTCAGTGTTGTATATCTCATGTGAAGCCCTAATAACAATTATATAATCTTTTTCGTTCGGAGGGGTATATGGGCTCATATTAACTACCAGTGTTGTATATCTCTTCAAGTCTTATATTTAGCCCAAATAACAATTATGTTATCTTTTTGGTTCAGAGGGTATATGGGCTCATATTCCCAGTGTCAGTGTTGTATATCTCATGTGAAGCCCAAATAACAATTATGTTATCTTTTTGGTTCAGATGGTATATGGGCTCATATTCCCTGTCAGTGTTGTATATCTCCTGTGAAGCCCAAATAACAATAATATTATCTTTTTCGTTCAGAGGGTAATATGGGCTCATATTCCCTGTCAGTGTTGTATATCTCCTGTGAAGCCCAAACAACAATTATATTATCTTTTTGGTTCAGAGGGTATATGGGCTCATATTCACTACCAGTATTGTATATCTCCTGTGAAGCCCAAATAACAATTATATTATCTTTTTCGTTCAGAGGGTATATTGAACAGATATATCATGTTAAGGAGGGGTATTTGCGAAAAATACCAGTCGAGAGAATGTTAAATTTCGCAATTCATTCTCAAGACTGGTATTTTTCGCAAATACCCCTCCTTAACATGCTATATCTGTTTAATTACACCGAATGTTAACGTTCAAAAACGCATTGATGATCGTGACGTTACAAGTGTCCAGTCGGATAGAGTATTTTTTGGCAAATACCATGGCAGAGAGGGTTAAAAAGGCATATCCTTTTTGCATATAACCCGGCGGCGTTAAAAAATGAACGATATTCATTTTATAACAGTAAATTGGTGAAAAATACACTGGCTATCAACCAATCAAAACCCAGGATTCTTACATAAGGTGTAATTAGGGCTCATATTCCCTGTCAGTGTTGTATATCTCCTGTGAAGCCCAAACAACAATTATATTATCTTTTTGGTTCGGAGGGGTATATGGGCTCATATTCACTACCAGTATTGTATATCTCTTCAAGTCTTATAAAGCCCAAATAACAATTATATTATCTTTTTGGTTCAGAGGGTATATGGGCTCATATTCCCTGTCAGTGTTGTATATCTCCTGTGAAGCCCAAACAACAATGATAATTATCTTTTTGGTTCAGATGGTATATGGGCTCATATTCCCTGTCAGTGTTGTATATAACTCCTATGAAGCCCAAACAACAATTATATTATCTTTTTGATTCAGAGGGTATATGGGCTCATATTCCCAGTCAGTGTTGTATATCTCCTGTGAAGCCCAAACAACAATTATATTATCTTTTTGGTTCAGAGGGTATATGGGCTCATATGTATACCCTGTCACAGTCTTCAATCAGATTGAAGGATTAACTGGGATATATGATTATAAATAAAACAATATGAGTATCTTTACTCAAAGCTAAGTCCAAATACTGTAGTAATATTCTCTAGAACACATTGGTCCAGGTGATAGCAATAGCAATATCCTCCAGAACACATTGGTCCAGGTGATACCAATAGTAGTAATATTCTCTAGAACACATTGGTCCAGGTGATACCAATAGTAGTAATATTCTCTAGAACACATTGGTCCAGGTGATACCAATAGTAGTAATATTCTCTAGAACACATTGGTCCAAGTGATACCAATAGCAATATCCTCCAGAACACATTGGTCCAGGTGATACCAATAGTAGCAATATTCTCTAGAACACATTGGTCCAAGTGATACCAATAGCAATATCCTCCAGAACACATTGGTCCAGGTGATACCAATAGTAGTAATATTCTCTAGAACACATTGGTCCAAGTGATACCAATAGCAATATCCTCCAGAACACATTGGTCCAGGTCATTGTAACCAATGACAGATTTAACATGTGTAATATGTCACTGTGTATTTTGAAAAGCAACTAGCTTTTGTTGTGCATAATCTCTATATATATCTATCTATATACTGTAAATGCAGAAATTTGTGCATGCATTTGCAATTTTTGAATATTGAATAAAAATGAAAGATTATTTATTGCCATTTCATTGTACCTGAATAAAACAACATTTATAATGACAGTGAAACCAATCACCAAGTTTCCAGTTGATATCTAGTAGGCTTCTTACATTCACACCCAATTAACAGCTATAGGTACGGCAGATACAACAGGTAATAACACAGATAAAAATTCCAGAGGTTCTGAAGGTTTTTTGGACTTCACTGGTCTTATGGTCCAGTAATTTTTCAAGCATTACTGGTCCAGTCAGTGTTTTAGCAGTCTTTTGCATTATGAGTATTACAAAATTCTTACATCTACACTGGTCATTTGGTCCAATCATTAATGACATTTTACTGGATTGAACCATTTATAATGGCCATTGCCACATGTCTGACGGACCTTAGGAATGACTGATTAACCTGCTGTACAAGATTGCAAAATCCAATGATTGCAATGGTATATGGAAATGTAGACAAAAAACTGCTGTATACAGTAAAAACAATTATTTTAAATTGGAATTGTCAACACAGATCCTATTGTATTTGCCGTAACGATACCCAGCAACAGGGTGTGTTATTCGAGAAACAATATTTCAGATTTAAGTTTTCACCCAAGCCTCAATTTCACACAAAAATATGTAGGATATAGTAATTATGACAGAAGCTGTAAACACATCAAACGAAGCTTTATAGATACGATTCATTCCAATACACTGTAGAAAAGATGTGAAAAGTAATACTTCAGTTACAGAGTTGTGTCCCTTGGAGGAGTTATCTCCCTTATCATGACTAGTGAAAGCAGCTTAGGCTTGCCTGCTAAAAGTGTGGTAAGCCAGGACAGGCTAGTTAAAGCATAAAAACTAATTATATATTACTTGAAAAGGGAAGTAACTCTTCCTCCAATGACATTCATGCTGTAAATGAAGGCAAATAAAATCATTTGACAGTGCGAAAAATTGAAGCATTTGATAATAAAATAATATGATTGGTGCTTTACAATACCTGAAAGCAGGAAGACTACCTCGTCTTAAAAGACGTTCCACATTCATCACGCTTGAAAAAATAAAACTTAGCATGAAACCTAATAACATTAGAATTTAGTACCACTGTACAAAATGAACATAGGAAGAATTAAAAACTTAAGTTAGAATAAAACTCAAGTCAAAGGTAATTATGATTTAACCAAAAAAATATAGGTAAAGATATTAATCTTGAAAGCAACTATAAACTGTTGTTGGTCTGCCTTACATCAACTTATAGTCCCCCCCCCCCCCCCCTTTTTTTATAAAGCAGCTTCAAATATCTTTTAAGCATCCTCATAACAAAATTTCACATCATTTAATGTTATATTCCTACAAAGGAAAGATTTTGGAAAGACTTTGCAGAGCATGCTCAGAGCTTTCAAGAATAATCAAAAGGTTACGTAAAATGTACAGGTTATGTTGTAACTTAATTACTGCTGTTAAATGGCAAAATAGAATTACCAAAAAACTTCATCACAGCATATTAAACCAATGGGTTTATAGGATTCCAGGAAGACCTTGGTAGAAATGAAAATGTATTTTCCCACCATTTAAAAACCGAGATACCTCACCTAAATCTTTTCCTGCAAAGACAAATCTTTAAAATATTTTTTTTTCAAAAGTAAAATTTCAAACATGTATATTTTCACTAATATTTTGGCTTTGTTGAACATTCTTTTCACTGCTGACAGATGTCTGCTCACAGTATTAGTTATCCATATTCATACATTATTTTTACATGAATAAATAACTTCTTCCAATAAAATCCCCAAAATGTATACTGTGGATTATCTATTTTTCGTGGCACACCAACTTGTGTGGATTTTTCTATTTTTCGTGGCAGACCAACTTGTGTGGATTCTTCTATTTTTCGTGGAACACCAACTTGTGTGGATCTCATAGACATTAATATTCACACCAATAACTAATAAATTTTCTCTACGATTATAAGTATTTTTTTGCAAAACCATGGCAACAAATATCCGAATAAATGTGGATAGTGTCCACATGTGGACACAGATGATGCCCCCGCTTGCACATCATATAGTTATAAAGGGACATAACTGAAGAACGGTAAAAGTGATGCTATCCTATTTGAACTTGATCTGAGTTTTGTGGTAATAAGCATTGTTTGTAAGTCTCATAACATTTGGTTGAGGCTAACTTAAGTAAAGAACAGAAATTTTTCTATTTGTAAACACGCATAACTCTAGAACGGTTGTGTATAAGTTTTATAACATTTGGTTGAGACAAACTAAAGTTGAAGAACAGAAACGAAAAATTCAGCAATTTTTATGTTTATAACGGGACATAACTCAAGAATGGTAAAAGTGTTGCCACCAAATTTCGTACTTAATCTGTATTATACATAATAAGCATTGTGTATAAGTTTCATAACATTTGGTTGAGGCAAACTAAAGTTAGAAAACGGAAACAAAAAATTTGTACTTGATCTTAGTTTTGTGGTAATGAATATTGTGTATAGGTTTCGTAATGTTTGGTTGGGGCAAACTTGTGTTACAGAATGGAAACTAAAAATTTTGCAATCTTTCGATTTATAAAGGGGCATAACTCAATAATGGTTAAAGTGACACTACCCAAATTCATCTTGTTCTGTGTTTTAACAGTGGAAGTTTCATAACATTTGGTTGAGGCAAACTTAAGTTAGAGAACGGAAACCAATTTTGGGAAGTACGGACGGACGTAAGTACGTACGTACGTACAGACGGACAAGGGTAAAAATAAAAATACAAGTGTTCCGGAACATCAATCCACAAAAATTTGTACCCACAAAAATAAATGAATCCACAGAATATATGAAACAGCATCATGAGTTAAGGCACCTGTTATGTAGAGCATTCAGAACTGTATAGTGCTGCTGATGTTATGAGTTAAGGCACCTGTTATTTACAGCATTCAGAACTGTATAGTGCTGCTGATGTTATGAGTTTAGGCACCTGTTATGTACAGCATTCAGAACTGTATAGTGCTGCTGATGTTATGAGTTAAGGCACCTGTTATGTACAGCATTCAGAACTGTAAAGTGCTGCTGATGTTATGAGTTAAAGCACCTGTTATGTACAGCATTCAGAACTGTATAGTGCTGCTGATGTTATGAGTTAAGGCACCTGTTATGTACAGCATTCAGAACTGTATAGTGCTGCGGATGTTATGAGTTAAGGCACCTGTCAACAATATAGTAATGTATGAAATCATGGAATAAGTAAAAAGTGTGACTTTAGAACTGGTTTGACCATACTTTTTTCTACCTTAACATACAAGGTAATAAATAATTCCTGATTAAACAAGTACAAGTCAGCAATGTTGAATTCCATGTACCAATTAACTGCCCAATTATCTCCCCTCTTAAACTATTGGATTGAAATACAGATGTTAAGTCCATGATTTGCTTAAAAAGATCAGTCCTTTCTAACTTTCTGTTCTGGTAATCATTACATCAGCCAATGAAATTTCAGCCTTCAAATTTTTGAAGGTGAGTATCATTACAACAAAACCAGAGGATCTCGAAAGGTCTTTTAAACAGAAAGTAAAACAGAGTGTTTTCAGATCCTTGTAAGCAAAATGAGGACACAGGATCTTTATCTTAATCTGGTTGCCCTCTTAAATAGTATAGCTGTAACAGAATATATCACTTCAAATAATGCTCTATATGCAGATCATATTCCAGTGTGACACGTTTCAGGTTAAGAAGGACATCATCATCATCAAATGAGCTGCATTGGATAGAAATCAACCATATGCAAGTGCACGTATACATGTACATGTATAAGACTTTGATTGATTTTGGAACATTCAAATACGAAATCAAAGATGAATTTTGGTCTGTTTTGTAGGGTTTTTATAACAACTCAATTTTCAAACAGTTACAAACTTTGAATAGAGATTTTTTCAAACCGAAAAAGGTTAAAAGATGTATTGATAGTCACTTGCATAATGTCGATTTCTATCTGACCCAGCTCAAATCATCTCAAATCTGTATAGAAATATCACTTGTATCTAAAATTTTTCCCACCAGATGATCTAACACTACTTTTATAAACTTACATGTTATTCTGTGGCCGATTTCCCAGATGTAACAGCTGGCCAACAAAACGCAGAGGGGATGTTGGTTTACTGACATTTGGACTGGTTGCTACATTGCTGTTGTTATTTTGTACGTCTACATTATTGGGTATATCTACAGTTAAACCTGCAATGAAAGAGAAGATTACATTAACACAGGATGTCTACATTACTGGGTATATCTACAGTTAAACCTGCAATGAAAGAGAAGATTACATTAACACAGGATGTCTACATTACTGGGTATATCTACAGTTAAACCTGCAATGAAAGAGAAGATGACATTAAAAAGGATTGTCTACAATCCCAGTATATTTCTATAGTGCTATCTAGAACAAAACTGATAAAATGAAAAAAATCTGATATCAAACGGTTGATATTGTAATGAGTATTCACAGCTGATGTCTCTTTGACACATTCCCCTTTTCCATTCTCAATTTTATATATAGGTGGCATTTTTTATACACTTTGTTTTTCTGATGGTCTGATATATATATACCATGTGGTTTACTGTCAAAACTTTCATGTCCTGTGAAACCAGGTATCCGTTTTAGAGCAATTTAGATAACATGTCACCATCCTACAACAAGTATTACTGTCAGCTATTGGTCACTAATGATACCCCCCTATAAGTATTTGGTAAACAGAAAGTTCAAGAGTGATGAATCTGAAACCACGTCACACAGTAAAGCATGCTCACATTAAGCCTGATAACAAATTTCAGGAAGCTATCATTATTATTTTGCAGTTCCCAAGAAAAATGCAACATACTTTTCATTCATGGCCATTATTTGTTAGAATTTGAATATTTTAGTATTCGTTCAACAGAAAGATGAAGATCAGTGATGAATCCGAAAACACATCACAATTGTTAATAGCATGCTCACACTAAGCACTCAGGAAGCTTTGATTTATAGTTTCTAAGAAAATGTGATGGACATTTCATTGGCTGGAGAGAACACGGGTAAAACATCAATACAACCCCCCCCCCCCTTTTCTCCTTTGGAATGAGGTATAAAGGATCATTTCTCTGAATGCTGTTTTTATTCTTTTATGCAATGAGAAAGGAAATTGCTTAGGACATTTTTTAAGCATAAAGAACGAGTTGCTTAGATGATTTCATACAAATTGTGCTGGTCACTTAAAATGCATTCATACATGGATCTCATTAAACTAATAAAATCATGAAAATTGGCATTAAATTGTTCAATACAATAATTCTCATATCCTGCATTTCTATAGGTTCTGACATCATACTGATTCATACTGGGTTGTTACTTAACTGTATTCATAAAATACTTAAAAGTTAAGGTCAAAGCCATAAAACTTCATTTTCCTGAAGGAAGGTGAACCTATTAACATCAGCAAACTAATGTTTAGGTGCCTGTTTGTTACATGCTAATTATTATGTAAGAGCAAAGGAAAGCTTCAATCTCCATTAATATTATGTTTCAATTACAAACATGATGTAATCTTCAAGTTATTCTGAACAAACCTATGTAATCTTTCTTTTACTTAAAGTTAATTGACCTATCATTAGCTACGAAATTGCATTTTGAATGAATTCTGCATGCAGTTGCACTTTTCACATTTTTGTGGAATGCAATTTATCATAGAAGTTTTTTCCTAAATGGTGAATGATTGATATAAGAAATGTGATACCCAACATTGAACATTAAGTAATTAAATGACAATGGAATTTCAATACTGTAAGAATCTTAAATAAGGAGATGTGGTATGATTGCCAATGAGACAACTATCCACCAAAGTTCAAATAAAGTGGATATAAGCAATCATAGACAATCATATGGCCTTCAACAATGAGAAAAAAACGCATTCAGATTTTAATTTATTCATATAGATTATCCTGTTAATTCAGAATGAATTTTTCAATAGAATAAAAGTATTACCAATTCTGTTTTACAACATGTCTTTAAACTACATTAAATTTGTCTATTATAATTGATTGTTGTCAGGAATTCAAGTGCACAATCAATTCAGGAATTTCAATGTACTTTATTAATGCACTGAAATAAGAATCCCAAACTGAATAGATTTTGATATCTTCATTTCAATGCAGGATATACTCAAATTGCAATAATTGATCTCACATTTATTTCCATTCTTCAAATTTTGCAATAATAAATGCACACAAAAAACATCTAAATTTTCTGTATTCAACAAGGTAGCTTGTATATTATTTCAGTATTTGTCTATAGCTGTTTTGTTGTTAGACTAATACCATGTTGAATATTTTTGTAATGTATTATGTAATGTGTTATTTTGTTTTCATGTAATGCCATCAACCCCATAGGGTTATATTAATAGTGCATTATTTTCAATAATCTATTATTCTCTTGATTTTATTTCTAAATCTCCCCCCCCCCCCCCTTCCCCTTTATAACACAGTAGACTAATTGAACCAGAAGATCCATCTATTAATAACTACCTTTATGTATATGAAATAATTAAAATTTTAAAAATGAAATTCTTCACACTAAGAAAAAGGTTAACAATATTTATGATACAAGATAATTATCATTTTGGTCTAATGAATTACATGTCTGGTATGACTAAGAAACATTGACAAGTGTAACCCTGTATCTTGTGACTCACGTCAGCTGACTAACACTCAAGTTTTTACAGTCAAGTATTGAAACAGAAATATATAACAATTAATGCATCACAGATGGAAACAAACATCTTTTAATCTCAAAAATTTCATTCAAACATGTTACTGAAAAAAAGAGAGGCGAAAGATACCAAAGGGACATGCTTAAACGCATAAATTGAAAATAAATGGACAATGCCATGGTTAAAAAACGAAAAACGATGAAAAGACAAACATCATGCAGTACACAAAACACAACACAGCACATGTACATTAGGCTTGGTACATGTATTACAGGTTAAAAATAGATCTGGTCATGTCAATCTTGCTCACAATAGGTATAGCTGACATTCCTTTTTTAATGTGGGTCAAAAGATGCAACCATTTTTCCAAGGAGAAGTATGATCAATTCATTTGATGAGAGTAAAGAAATAGAATAGGTATCAAATTTTCAACTGCATAATGTGGACACACTGGTGACCATCTAAACGTTTTGTCCATTCTGGGTCAAATCCGAACGACAAAATTCACTGAAGATCTACTGTACACTTGTGTGGTATCATCAAGACAATAAGACAGCAACCAGACAACAAAACAAATAAAAGAGGAATGTGTCCGATTGATGCCCCCACTTGCCTATAACATTATAAAGGTACATAACTCAAGAATGGAAAAAGTGACGCTACCCAAATTTGTACTTGATCTGAGTTTTGTGGTAATAAGCATTGTGTATAAGATTCATAACATTTGGTTAAGGCAAACTTAAGTTAGAGAACAGAAACCAAAAGTTCATCAATTTTCCATTTGTAAAGGGGCATAACTCTAGAACGTAAAAGTGACGCAACCCAACATCAAACTTGATCTGTGTTTTGTGGTAATAAGCATTGTGTATATAAGTTTCCTAATATTTGGTTGAGGCAAACTAAAGTTAGAGAACAGAAACCAATTTTGGGACGTACAGACATACGGACAGACTTACAGGCGGACAAGGATAAAACTTAATGCCCCCTACGCTACGGTTGGGGAATAACAAAAATACATCAAGCGGGAAACAAACAGCCTCAACAATGCCAAGGTATCTACAAAATATGTGCATTTCACACTTGACCACAAATGACAGGTGTCTACACAATATGTGCATTTCACACTTGACCACAAAAAGTCAGATGTCTACAAAATATGTGCATTTTACACTTGATCACAATAGTCAGGTGTCTACAAAAGATGTGCATTTCACACTTGTCTGCAAATGAGAGGTGTCTTCAAAATATGTGCATTTCACACTTGACCAAAATTGACAGGTGTGTACACAATATGTGCATTTCACACTTGACCAAAAATGACAGGTGTGTGCACAATATGTGCAATTCACACTTGACCACAAATGACAAGTGTCTACACAATATGTGCATTTCACACTTGACCACAAATGACAGGTGTCTACAAAATATGTGTATTTCACACTTGACCACAAATGACAGTTGTCTACAAAATATGTGTATTTCACACTTGACCACAAATGACAGTAGTCTACAAAATATGTGCATTTCCCACTAGAACAATCAATACTCAGGGGTCTACACAATATGTGCATTTCACACTTGACTATGAAAGACAGGTGTCTACAAAATCTGTGTATTTCACACTTGACCACAAATGACAATAGTCTACAAAATATGTGCATTTCCCACTAGACCAAACAATACTCAGGGGTTTACACAATATGTGCATTTCACACTTGACTATGAAAGACAGGTGCCTACAAAATCTGTGTATTTCACACTTGACCACAAATGACAGGTGTCTACACAATATGTGCATTTCACACTAGACTCAACAATACTCAGGGGTCTACAATATGTATATTTCACACTTCATTACATCAAAAGACAGGTGTTTGAACACTAAGTGCATTTTACACTTCACCAGATGAACCCAGTCAGCAAGTTTACATTGTGTTAATTTCATTCATAGATCTTATAATGGCACTGATAGAAATGTGCTTCACACTATAAATATTTATAACCATGCGACATATACAAAGAAAGAAGAGGAACCTAGAATAGTATTATTGTGTTGTCAGAGTATAATTATTTACAATGGTATATATATCTGGTATACAGAAGAGTAAACAAATGTGACCACAAGTTCAACGATAAGTCAATCATCTATCTTTTGCAGTGATTTTTATTATTGACTGGAACTTATCTAATGAAGTAAAAAAAATGTGCATCTTCCAATGTTATCGAAAATAATGACAGTCCTGTTGTCCAGACCATCAAAAATCAGGTAAGTTTGCCAATTTTGAGTGTGGAGTTGGTCCTGATGTCCAACTAAAAGTTTGAGGTAGTTTTATTCTTTTTTTTTTAGGCCATCTAGTATTTAGTATTATACTATTTATAGTTCCTGATTACAATTTATAACAACATTTGCTATGAAACCATAAAGTTTTTGTGCAAATTTGCCTAATCTTGTTCATACCTATATAATTTAATTTTGGAAGTAACACGTCTTCTGATTGGCTGAAAGTTTTTTGTCTATCAGCTCATAGACATAATTTTGTCATGTGACCGTGACGTCATCAACGTTTTTTTTCATGATTTACTTTTTAAAAATGGAATTTAGAATTAAATTATAAGGAATGACTGTTATATTATTTCTGTCTATTCAAAATAACCTACAAAATGTGGTGCACACTTTTAAATAACCCGCATAATTCAGTGTGCACCACATTTTTTATGTTATTTCTTCATAGACAGAAAAATATTCCAGTCATTCCTTAAATGTATGGAAATAATTGTAAGCAAACATTTTCTGTATCTACAGAACCACCAAATATACACTAGGACCACCAGATTTGTAGTCTTGGTGGTCATTTAGGACCACCAGGCTAAAAGATATTTTCAGAACTCTGATATTCTTACATCATATGTTTATGGATACATTATTCAGACTTTTGAGTTAACAACTTTTTGCTTGAGGTGTATAAGTTATGTATAGTGCATTTTTAATATTTATAAGTTATATGATTTGCTACTGACCCCTATGGATCCATAGAGGGTTAGTAAAATCCATAAGTGGTGATGCCGACTACGTTTTGTCATGTGACATGGCCTTTTATGCGTAAATATTATATGGTATGGGTTTTGCCCACACTCTAGCTGGAAATGTTCAAATCTCCAGTTGTGACTAGACAATTCTGTCACATGTATGTATAATCCACACAAGTCCAAATGATCCAGAAGTTCAAGTAAGTTAGTATAGACCACGGTTTGGCCTTCTAACCTGTATTATGAATGACATTAGATGTGTGGCTTTACACCATTCTGGATTGTAATCTTTATAGCTTGCTGTTTGGTGTGAGCCAATGCTCTGTGTTGAAGGCCGTACTTTGACCTATAATGGTTTACTTTTACAAATTGTGACTTGCATAGAGAGTTGTCTCATTGGCACTCATACCACATCTTCTTATATCTATCTACTTACATTTACTCTTCTGAAACACAGCACATTCAAATACAGTCAAGATGTTCTTTGTTTTTTTTTTTGTCATTGGTTTTTTGTCTCATTGACCTATAACCTCACATCTCCTTTTATCAACATGTATAAGCACTCTGCCAGACAATTGTCTATTACACATACCTTAGACAACGCCAAGTTATACAATGTCTTTTTCAGTCGGTAGTATATATCTAATTCCTAAAGACCAACTCACAGTTTTATTGAAAATAAGTCTAACGTCAAACACACCAACACATTTTTAATACTACTAGAGAATATTTAAGACTTAATTTTCTGTGGAATTAAACAGTAGTTGTCCTTTTACAATACATTTAATCAATACCCTGTTAAAGTCGACCTTTAACCCTATGACGCAAACCTAAGACACCTGTTACCAACACATTGAGTTTTGGTGTAAAACATTTCTCTTATTTTACAATAATTCACAGGTATATTGTTAATAAAGATAAATTAGAGCACTGGGAGATATATGTTATAATTCTGTTATACTTCATTGTAATCTTCATTTCCTTTGATCTAGTGTATTGATCATGTCAACATTCATAAATTGAATAAGTCTATTATGACAAAATCCTTGGACATTTATCATGGTTTCCTAAATCAAAGCAAAGGCTATTATGACAAAATCCTTGGACATTTATCATGGTTTCCTAAATCAAAGCAAAGTCTATTATGACAAAATCATTGGACATTTATCATGGTTTCCTAAATCAAAGCATAGTCTATTATGACAAAATCCTTGGACGTTTATCATGGTTTCCTAAATCAAAGCAAAGTCTATTATAACAAAATCCTTGGACATTTATCATGGTTTCCTAAATCAAAGCATAGTCTATTATGACAAAATCATTGGACGTTTATCATGAAAACAAAGCAAAGGCTATTATGAAAAAAATCCTTGGACGTTTATCATGGTTTCCTAAAACAAAGCAAAGTCAATTATGACAAAATCCTGGGACATTTATAATGTTTCCTAGATCAAAGCAAAGATTACTATGACAAAATCCTTGGACATTTATCATGAAAACAAAGCAGAGGCTATTATGAAAAGAATCCTTGGACTTTTATCATGGTTTCCTAAATCAAAGCAGAGGCTATTATGACAAAATCCTTGGACATTTATCATAGTTTCCTAAATCTAGGCAAAGGCTATTATGACAAAATCCTTGGACGTTTATCATAGTTTCCTAAATCTAGGCAAAGGCTATAATGACAAAATCCTGGGACATTTATCATGGTTTCCTAAATCAAAGCATTAAGGCTATTATGACAAAATCCTTGGACATTTATCATGGTTTCCCAAATCAAAGCAAAGGCTATTATGACAAAATCCTGGGACATTTTACATGGTTTCCTAAATCAAAGCAAAGGCTATAATGACAAAATCCTGGGATATTGATCATGGTTTCCTAAATCAAAGCAAAGGCTTATTAAGTAAGACAAAATTCTTGGACATTTATCATGAAATCAAAAATTTATCATGAAATCAAAGGCACAGGCTTTTATGACAAAATCTATGGACATTTAATATATTAAAACCAAGGCATAGGCTATAATATGACAAAAATTCCTGATACGATGAACATGATGAAATGAGAAAAATCGGGATTTATTTTTATTTTGTACTGACTCACTTTTAATTATTCATTATTCATGAAATCTACTTTAGTGAAAATATATCTAAATTCAATATAACATGTAATGATTTGTACTAAATTCCTTCTTTAGTGCAAATATATCTTAAATCAATATAACATGTGAATTCCTTGCAAATAACAGAGTCAATAAATTAAAGATGATTTTCCAAAGATAAAATTATGTATGAAAATAAAACTCACTTCAGAATTAGTTTATGAAACAGATATTGTCCCTCAGACAGACTGCACTCTAATGAAACAGATATCGTCCCTCAGACAGACTGCACTCTTATGAAACAGATATCGTCCCTCAGACAGACTGCATTCTTATGAAACAGATATCGTCCCTCAGACGGACTGCACTTTTATGCAACAGATAACGTCCCTCAGACAGACTGCACTCTTATGAAACAGATATCATCCCTCAGTCAGACTGCATTCTTATGAAACAGATATCGTCCCTCAGACGGACTGCACTCTTATGAAACAGATAATGTCCCTCAGTCACACTGCACTCTTATGAAACATATATCGTCCCTCAGACAGACTGCACTCTTTTAAAACAGATATCGTCCCTCAGACAGACTGCACTCTTATGAAACAGATATCATCCCTCAGTCAGACTGCATTCTTATGAAACAGATATGGTCCCTCAGACGGACTGCACTCTTATGAAACAGATAACGTCCCTCAGTCAGACTGCACTCTTATGAAACATATATCGTCCCTCAGACAGACTGCACTCTTATGAAACAGATATCATCCCTCAGTCAGACTGCACTCTTATGAAACAGATAACGTCCCTCAGACAGACTGCACTCTTATGAAACAGATAACGTCCCTCTGTCAGACTGCACTCTAATGAAACAGATATCCTCCCTCAGTCAGACTGCACTCTTATGAAACATATATCGTCCCTCAGACAGACTGCACTCTAATGAAACAGATATCGTCCCTCAGTCAGACTGCACTCTTATGAAACATATATCGTCCCTCAGACAGACTGCACTCTAATGAAACAGATATCGTCCCTCAGTCAGACTGCACTCATATGAAACATATATCGTCCCTTAGTCTGTCTGCACTCTTATGAAACAGATAACGTCCCTCAGTCAGACAGCACTCTTATAGAACATATATTGTCCTCAGTCACTCTAATGAAACAGATATTGTCCCTCAGTCAGACAGCACTCTTATGAAACAAATATTGTCCCTCAGTAAGATAGCACTCTTATGAAACAGATAACGTCCCTCACTCAGTCAGAGTGCCACTTCAGGTTTATAGGTTAAAGTACTTAGATGTTGTATCAATTGACTGCCTGTGTATTGACAACTATCGGAAATCAATTCACTCCAACAAAACTTCATTTGGTCAAATACAATTTTGTTATGATTTAACACACCATGTTATGAAACTTTGTCCTTCCAATAAAATTTTTTAATAGTTCTTAAATGTTGACTTATTGAAGCAAAGAATAATAGAAACTGTTACTGAAAATCAATCTTAGGTCAATCACCTCATTGTGTATAACTACAACAGTTCAAGAAAAAAAATGATATGTCAGAACAAGTACCAAGTTGTTAAATTAATTAAATGCTTTAATATTTTTACCAGAAAAAACAGCAAACAACAAGAAAAGACTACACACATTCATTTTTGGTTGATAATTGTTAAGGAAAGGGGGTGTCATTTTTGGTTAATAATTCTTAAGGAAAGGGGGTGTCATTTTTGGTTGATAATTCCAGGAAAGGGGTGTCATTTTTGGTTGATAATTCTAGGAAAGAGGGTGTCATTTTTGGTTGATAATTCTAGGAAAAGGGGTGTCATTTTTGGCTGATAATTCTAGGAAAAGGAGGAGGGTTGAATTTTGATATCTGTAATGTTTGAATTGTGCTGAGCATAAAGAGGAATATTTGTTACTGTCGAAAAAGCCCTATATGCCCCCCTTGAATCTACCACTGTCTTACAATTATGAACACCATATATTTACCTCAATCTACATAGGTTATTTCGTTAATTCATTGCGTTGCTGGGATACTGTTTTATTCTCATACACTCATACATTCTCATACACTGCACATACCCATAAATCCACAAACACACACACTCCAAATGCAGGTGCAAATCTAATCATTTTTAAAAGGGGGTTTCAATCCCCCAGAACATCATGAAACTTTCACACAATTATAAAAAAAAAGGTAATTAATGGGGAATGTGTCCATGGGACACAGATGATGCCCCCACTTGCACATAATGTTATAAAGGGACATAACTCAAGAACGGTAAAAGTGACACTACCCAAATTCATACTTGATCTGATTTTTTGGTAATAAGCATTGAGTACAAGTGTCATAACATTTGGTTGAGGCAAACTTAAGTTAGATAACAGAAACGAATAATTCAGCAAATTTTCCATTTGTAAAGGGGCATAACTCTAGAACGGTAAAAGTGACGACACCAAAATTCGAACTTGATCTGTGTTTTGTGGTAAAAATAAGCATTGTGTTTAAGTTTCCTAACATTTGGTTGAGGCAAACTTAAGTTTGAAAACGGAAACCAATTTCGGGACGAACGAACGAATGGACGGACAGACAAGGGTAAAACTTAATGCACCCTCCACTATGGTGGGGGCATAAAAAAGGGGAGGTTCCAACCTTGGAACTCCCCCCCCCCCCCTGGATCCACATAGACATTGTACAAATAGAAAATGTATAACTAAATATCAACTTTACATGTTATTATCTCCTTTAACTAAATGTTAACAATAATAAAGATTAATACACTTACTGCGTGAATCAATACAAGTTATAATCTATCTCATCTAAAGTCAAATAGATCACTCAATCATTATTCCCATCAAGTTAATTATGTAAGAAAATTCTCCTTTTAGCATTCAACTTTAAAATCCAGTTTTGATATAAATCCTTTCAAAAAGCAATTACTATTAGTTACTGTACACTTGCGACCACACAAACAAAAAAGGTTAAATTTGATCAACTTTGATAGGAAATCAATTCGCTCGGACAATGTAAATCTGTCTCGTAAATTGTTACTGCCATAAAAAGCAAAGAGGAGAAAAAATCCATCACTATATTCATTGATCAGTCTGCTACTTGACTAGTAAAGTTGTGTTCAATCCTTTATTGACAATTTAATTAATACTTGCATTCAAAATGTACATCATCCAGTTGTAAAAAGAGAATAATTTATCCTACTTCCCAATGTCTAATAACAAATTACATAAACTTCTCACAATGAAATCAAATGATTTCTGTTAAATTCCCTTTTGTTTAATTTATCAATAGTATTATTTAACCAGGTGTATATATCATTATCACATAATATTAAAACTGCACTAAATAAATGAGTAAAATTAATACAATATCCCAAGACCATTATTATCCTATTAGACACATTGCCTTACACACTGCTGTTATAATCTACACTGATTCAGATGACTTGATTTATACTTTAACCAGTCCTTCTCTCTTCGGTATTGATATTCTATTGATATTCGTGTGTTTATACCAAGGAAGTGCACTTTTGTAAATGAACACCTTGAGGTTATTCAGTTTGTGTAATCATACATGTGTATAAATATATCATGACAATTATACATAGAAATTATTAATAAAATATTTTTTCCTGACAGGAAAGTGAGGTATCTATTTTTGCCTGAAGCACAGCCTGTGTGATCAGAATTAATCAGATTTTTTTCCTTTATTACATATAAATTCTTTACTGGAAGCATTTAGACTTTATAGAAGTACTTTGCACTAGAAGGCTTTAAACTTGTTTTTTGTAAGTATTGTTTGTTTTTTATCCTTGGGCATAATGTACTACTGTTTTAAACATGAATTTTTATTATATTTTTTTTAAGAAACTGAAGTTTACTTGAATATTTGAGTGATTTACTTTAAACTCAATAAAAAATCATCATTTCAAAATTTTTGTTTGAATCAATATATAACTTATATTTACAAAATGATCAATGCCATTGTTTCTAAATAGATGTCCTGCATTGAACAATGAAATAAGGTCAAATTGCTGAAAGACCACACTCATAAGTTTTTGAAAGCTCATCATTTTGCATTAGCCCTAAATATAATGGCATAAATTAAAAACAACCAATAGGGCTTAACACCCTAATGGGTGTATATAATACATACACATAAAATTAATGACTATTAGTACAGCAAAACTAAATTCTAAAATATTTCATAATATCTGTGTTGTTTTTTTTTGTGGTGATGTTGGGAGTATTGCCTTCTCACCTGGACTCATTATCACTTATTTATCTATTATGTAATGAGAAAATTAATCAGCAATTCCTTTTTACTTCCTCATGTGTAGATAACCTAGTATGGACATTTAATATATTGAAATCAAGGCACAGGCTATTATGACAAAAATTCCTGACTAGATGAAATGAGAAAATTCAAAGCACTGATTTATTTTTATTTTGTACCAACTCACTTTTAATCATTCACCACCTGATTTATATAAATAATATAAAGTTACTCCTAAAATCTTAGGGGCCTGGGGCTCTTTTCACAAAAAATCTTACAAGTAAAAATACTCGTAAGTCATGAACATTTCAGTATAACTTACGATCAATTTTAATCGTAAGATTTTTTGTGAAAAGTGTCGCTGATGGGTTTATTTTCGTTCTTCGTGATCGGCGCATTTTTGCTATCGTGATCCGTTTTTCTAGATTTATTTTTTTTTATATTTTCGTGATCCGTGATCATGGAAATTTATTTTCTGTGAATTGTGATTGACAAAAAAATCAACTCGTGAATCGTAAAAAAAGTAAAAGATGAATATTGGTCTAGCTTGTAGGGTTCTTATATCAACTCAATTTTTAAACGGTTACAGGCTGTGCATAGAGATTTTTTCAAACCTGAAATCACTTCAACAGATGTACAAATGTGTATTGATATTCATTTGCACAAGGTCAATTTCTATCCAACGCAGCTTAAATGTAAAACCCATACCATACAGTCAGCTATTAAATACCCAGATATGACAAAATGCTAGACAGTTCAAATGCAAAATCCAACAGCCATATTTATATAAAAAAGTAATAAACAAAAAACCAATATGACAGACAGCAACCAACGACAACCAATGAATTACATGTATGCTTGACTCATCAGATTACCACAAAAAAACAACAAACAAAAAGATAAAAGACACCAAGTACCCATTTAAATACTTGCAAATACTGTAAGCCAGTTCAAAGCCAATTAAAACAAATTAATCCTGTTCTCCCAGACTGACAGAATATTTACATGAAGATACTGTACTATATCTTGTACTACAACCACAGACTGACAGAATAACATAAAGATGCTGTACTATACCTTGTACTGCAACCACAGACTGACAGAATAACATGAAGATACTGTACTATACCTTGTACTACAACCACAGACTGACAGAATAACATAAAGATGCTGTACTATACCTTGTACTGCAACCACAGACTGACAGAATGACATAAAGATGCTGTACTATACCTTGTACTACAACCACAGACTGACAGAATGACATGAAGATACTGTACTATATCTTGTACTACAACCACAGACTGACAGAATAACATAAAGATGCTGTGCTATACCTTGTACTACAACCACAGACTGACAGAATGACATGAAGATACTGTACTATATCTTGTACTACAACCACAGACTGACAGAATAACATAAAGATGCTGTACTATACCTTGTACTGCAACCACAGACTGACAGAATGACATAAAGATGCTGTACTATACCTTGTACTACAACCACAGACTGACAGAATAACATAAAGATGCTGTACCATACCTTGTACTACAACCAGAGACTGACAGAATGACATAAAGATGCAGTACCATACCTTGTACTACAACCAGAGACTGACAGAATAACATAAAGATACTGTACTATACCTTGTACTACAACCAGACTGACAGAATAACATAAAGATGCTGTACTATACCTTGTACTACAACCACAGACTGACAGAATGACATAAAGATACTGTACTATACCTTGTACTACAACCACAGACTGACAGAATGACATAAAGATACTGTACTATACCTTGTACTACAACCACAGACTGACAGAATGACATAAAGATGCTGTACCATACCTTGTACTACAACCACAGACTGACAGAATAACATAAAGATACTGTACCATACCTTGTACTACAACCTT